AGTCTAATAGGGCATTTTTGTCCCTCATTGAGAACTGCATGCACAACATAATGTCCGCTCATTGCTTCAGCTGTGGCTGTTTCTCATGTGCCGGGGGCCATTCCCCATGGGCAGTTTGGCTGCTGTTTCCCTGGTTTTGGTACAGGGACACAAACCATACTGCATGAGGAGGCTTCGGGGCCAGAGGTGGCTCCTGGCTCACTTGGTGTGTGGGTGTGGTGGTGGCTGCGTGTGGCTCTGAGGCCAGGTAGGACCTTCGCCCATATGACCTGGCATCCCTTCGGGGGAGGGTCTTGCACAACCCTATATGATTCTTGTGTCCTTTTAAGTGTGCACTTTGTAAAACTTTACTGTTTACCATTACTGAGTGGTTAAGATTTCCCTTTGATCTGCTTGGTCCTGATAATTCCCTTTTAAACCGATAACAGGGATTGGAAATACAGCAACCTGGCATGTTCATTAATTTGTGCAGGGTCTCGTCTTCAACAAGAGTTCTGGCAGTTGTGAGCTACATTTCACCAGAGACTGGGCATGTATTTTAAATCAGATTACACAAATCTTGGTTTTCAACTTCTCTCCCCTGTGCTGTTGTTAAACGCTCTAGAGTGTCGGCACCCATGCCACCAAAGCTCTCTCCAGCCACCAAAGCTCTCTCAGGGTTGGATTCCACTTGCAAATACACATATGTAGCTGGAATAATTGCTGCCATTGCTAGGCCCACTTTGGCAATAGCAATAAATGGTTTATAGGCAGTTTCAGAGGACTGTTGCTACCCATAAAAAACAGCCATTCGTGCAACAGTTTTGGTCATACTGTTCTGAGGCTGCTACACCAAAAACCTTTTGGGAGATACCTGTGGCCAGCATAAGCGTTTTGCTTACTGCCAAGAAAACCTCTTCCTGTGGTTTTAGTATGCAGCAGGGAAGCTTTTGTTACTGGGTAGCTGAAGAGCAAGGCTACTACATTGTCAATCATGTTATCCTCTTAGCTGCCTCCATAAGCTCCTGTCTGGGTCAGAAACCTCCCTTTACAGGCCAGTTTCTAATTGCTGACATTTAGTTTTTCCAGCAGTCTCTTCCTGATCATTTTGGCCCAGTTGCCAACCACGTCCTTCATCAGAACTCAGTCAGCCCTGCAAAGTCACTACGTTGACTGTCTGCCTTAGATCATCCTCCTACGCTAATAATTTTTCTTCCTTTCTGAACCCTCTACTTACATATTTGCTTCTTTGCTTTATTTTTGCACAGAGTTCAGTGCACCTGACCTTCACAATGAGGTAGTTCTTCCTCTGCCTGCACTAATGGAAGAACATTTACAACGCCAAAACCCATACAGTTAAGGAAAAATCAAGCAAACATGAAAGTCTTTTCTTTTGGAAGGGGAATTTCATAGTGAGGGGTTATTATTTTTTCATTAGATCACTGATACAAAATTTCGACACTGGACTGTGTACCCAGTGCTGCGTTGTCTCTGTCAGAAAGATCTATTGCAAGTGTCATTTCTTCTCCCCCCAAACATGCTATGGAGATGTAAGAATCACCAGAAAGACCAGATTTTCAAGGTTATTGTTTTGTGCCCAGACTTTCATCCAGAAAGAGGTGGCTTCTAATTTGGCTGGAATATCAGCACACCAAACTAGTTAATCCTTTGGCAGGAGAATGCCTCAAGAAGGAAAATGGAGGACGCTGACATGCAAGATAGTCTAAACTAAATGCATAATCTCCATATCCTTTTCATTGAGCTTTCAAATGAAGAAAGCATATCAAAATATGAAATTGGTAATACACCAAAAAAAAAAAATATCAGGGTTGATAGCGCCAGACTTTTCCTGCAATGGACTGGGGAAGGTAGGAGGGAGCTGCCTCTCAGCAGTGAGCACACTGGACACCTCTCTGATGATACCAGTCCTAGAAGTAGCTGGACTGGGTCCCAGAGTGGAAACTTGGCATTTACCTAAAATCTGGACACAATGGAAGCTGTTCCTCCTGCCACGGATGAGAAATTGGTCATATCTGTTGGCCCCAGTTCATAAGGGTGGAAAGCTTATGCTGCCAAGGAAACAGGCTGTGCTTGCCCTGAGGAGCGGGAAGATCTTCAAGGGTTTACACACAGCAATAAAGGCACTGTTGTTGTTACTATCTTTTATCTACAGAAAAACCCAAGGTGCCGTTTATGCCACCTTTTCCTTGAAAGGGAGACAGTAAGAGGGAAGACCATTTTCTTGTGCAGATCATTGCTATTAGTGACAATACGTACAGGACAAAATAGAGGACGCACTGAGGAAATGTTTCTGTGACAAACGGGCTCATGAAAAACTAAATGGGTGCTTGAGCGAGGTGCAGGCTGTGGGGCTGGAGCAGAAGTGAGCCACTGAAACCCCGGGAGCATGCTCAACAAATGACTCGCTTCTTAGGTCACTTCCAGGTGCAGTGTGAGTTATGGGGGTTTAACCTGTGAAATCACTTCTGGTGTGGTTTGGGGGAGATACTCTTGCTATAGAAGTGATTACATAGGAAGCCTAAATTTAGACAGGGTAGCTTCAAACACACTCAGGTAGTATTTCTCACTTCCCACTGTGGAGCAAGTGGCCTCATCCCAGCTTCATGTCAGTGTGAGACCCAGGCCAGCATCACACAGCCCCTGTGCCACCGCTGCTGTGGGACTTGAGCCAGGGCTCAGGCCCCAGGATGGAGCAAGGAGCAGGGAGCAACCTCTATAGCAGCCTGGTGGCTGGTACACCCCAGTAGCTCACTGTATCGCAGCCAAATTCAGGATTTGTGCATCTGAGAGGTCTCCATGGGGGAGGGCTAGCCTGGAACAATGACCTTAGCAAACACTGTTGGTTTGTCTTGTTTGCCCTCCAGGAAATGTTTATTTACCCAGGCTTTTCCTGAAGAGATGCGTTGCGTAGGATGTCCTCAGCTGAGGGATGGGGCATTTCAGTTCAATGGGTATTTTGCAGCCTACATGTCTGTGATAATATGTGCTCTTAAAAAGGAAGCAGACACCAAAATTGCACTTCTGTTTAATTAGTTTTACCACAATTGTTGGATGTAATGTGCGTAATTGCCATCATAGAAAGGGTTTAAAGTTATATCTGTTTACTTGGATCAAATGATTTACGTTGTACCTTTCTCATGCAGTCAGGGTCACTGCCTCCTGTTGTAGCCCATCAGTTTGTTTCTCTTATTTTCTACCTGGGAGTCCCACAAGAAAGAACAAAATGCTTGTAAGTTGGGAAAGAAGTGAATGGGGAAACCCAAATCCAAATCCACTGGGGTAGCGGTACCCCCGGAGCTGCGTGAGTGCACCTTTTGGTGCAGGACCCATCCCTTACAGGGGTCGGGCTCCTCCGCTGCTCTGGGCTCCTGCCTGTCGGGAGGCTGCTCTCACCAGCCTCCATTTGCCCTGCTTAGGGGCGTCACTGTCTCTGTTTTGGCAGGCTTTTGCAGTTGAAGATCTTTGCCTGAAACTGGCTAGTTTATGCCAGAGAGGACCTTAGATGGTGAACGAAGAGTGGAGAGGGGCAGCATCCATTCCCGTGGGGAGGCAGCGTTCCTGCCTGCTGTGGGGTCAGCCAGCCATTCTCACAAAGAACCACTTCTTCACGTGTTAGGAGTCCTTCCTACATCTAAAATACCCTCTAGAAAGCAATACATAAAGCAATAACTGGTTTTGTTTGCTAAAGCCACCTGCCTTACCAAACCCGATACAACCCTGCACAACTTAAAGCACCCCATAGTGCATCACTCAGCCGCAGGTGGTTGTACTCCCCGTGGAGGTAAGTGGGCATCTCCCAGCTCCTCGGCGAGCTCCTCTGCCTGGGGGGCCAGTGCCGTGCAAGCTGTGCTCTTGGCTGGCAAAGGCTCAGCCAGCGCAGCATCAGCTGTTCTACACTGCAGAACAGGGAAACTATCTGAAGTTTCCCTTTACTGCAAAAAGGTAATGGGCCAAAATACACTTTGTATGTGTCAAATTGCATCCATTGAAATGCCTCTGATATCAAGGCACTAATTCCAAATTTTCACCAGTCTCATCAAGTGTGGAGGTTGGTCCAACATTTTCAGCAGAGGTTCTATTGATTTGCTACAAATTACTACAAAATAAAAATTAATTGATTTTAAGCTATGCAAACTCATCAGAAGGGCTTTTTTCACTCTGTGGTAGGATAGATGCATAATATAATTTGGTGTATGAGACATGCATTACATTTTTCTTAATGTTGTTCTTGCTATTAACCTAATAAGAGAAAAACTAAATAAGACCTCTTAAGGGCAGAGCCTACTGTCATTACATAAGGTGTCATAGCTCTCCAAAAGAGAAGATATATTAATTAATATAATTTATTAATTTTCTATCTGCTGTAATTTCATAACATATTATAGTGTCACGCTCTACATTAAAGTATTCAAATGTTCCCATATCAAAGCCATTTGAAAGTACTGTTCATTGGCATGCTCTGCAATATTCAGTTGCTTCTCCACAGAATAAAAGACCAACCTTTTCCTTGGGATGTCAGCTTGCTACTTCAGACATCTTAAATAGAAACTTGTTACGACTTTGAAAACACACAAAATTCAGTCCCAGTGCATGGCATCAGCAGGAGTCATTTTTAGGACTCTTACCAAAGTAAGGTCTGGAGTTAACCACCATCAAGAGGCAGCAGGTTTGGGCAGCAGCTGTGCCCAGCAGTGGGAGAGGGGTTGCGACGGCAGAGCTGCTGCAGCCAAACCCGTGGGATGCATTTAGTCCACCTGCAATTTTCCATAGTTACCCCTTTTCCCACCATTTCCTCCCTATGCCCCACTGACACAAGGTTTCTTATTAAAAAAAAAAAAATCCTGTCGGCACACTCTTTGAAGCTTTCTAGAATCTCTGCCCCGACACAACAACTCTTTCTGCTTTCCAAATACCGGGTTGCATTCCCAGTGCAGGTGTGCGAGAACATGAGCAGGCTGGCAGCAGCGCACAATGGCAAATGAGGCATGAAAAACTCCTACCATCGACCACGGGTTTGGGCTGCGAGCTCTTCAGCCGCAGCGAGGGCCTGAAGCGGGTTCGGTCGTTGAAGCTCCAGCTCTTCTGGACTTTGGTTGGGCTGCCCTCGGTGGCAATGTCAGCACTTGGTGACCGGCGATCTCCAACTGAAGACTGCCTGTTCTTTATACTTTGACCTCGTGGGCTGGCCATCCGGACCCGCTCCTTAAAACTTAGCTTTTGACTGTGAAGAAGAGAAATGTATTTTATTTCACAGGTCCTCCACTCTTTTTTTCTTCTATCGTATGATACTAGGAAATAATTTCTAAAAATTCTCAATTGTATGAACCTGTTTCTTACACACTTTTATTTTCATTGAATATATTTCATTTGGGAATGAAACTGATTTGATGTAATTGTTTTTTGATAGAGGCATTATCAATGGCAGTCGATTTCGATTTTACAGTACGGAATAACCTCGTAAAGGAAATTAAAATTAAAAAAGAGAAACAAATTTCACCCAATTGTTACAAATTAATCTCTAAGATTTTTTTTTTATTCCTTGACTTTTAAATAGGTTTATTTTCATCTTAGTCAGCCCAGCTCAGTGCATTTCTGCCCATCTCTTCAGATAAACAAGAACAAAATGTATTCTATTATTACTGCATGCCATGTAGTGTTGCTTTTTTTTTTAAGCAGGCAAAAATACTGTTAGTACACTCATGCTTTTTCAAAATGTGGCAATTCCATCTTTTCATATGCATTGTTAGTGATCGCTCATATCCAGAATTCCTTGTTACAGCACTTGCTTGGACAAGATGAAACCAAAATTAACAAAACATCTAAGAAACAGCATGATGACTGATTAATGGAAACATAATGATACACTGTGTGCTCACTGATGTCATTGCTGGAGATTAAGCTGGGAGCTGACTACCCATGGGTGGTATTGGGCAGATGCTTTAGGACAGGTACTAGAACCCAGCCAAGGTCATGACTGTGTGCTGGATCAATGGTGGCCCCGTGGTCTTATAGTTGGCCAATTGTAAGCTGATTTTTTTCCCTCCTGTGCTGCTAACCATCCCCTCCAGTCAGCTAAATGTGGGATATGTGGATTTTCTACTTCCCAGTGCTTAAATTACCTTTGCTCATGCCCAAACATATCTGCTGAACATCCTGTGGTCATCCTGACTATCTGCCTATACTTCTTCATTATTTAACTTTTTTGCTTTTGTTTGTCTCTTCCTCTAGCAGAAGGCACAAAGGGGAAACAGAAAGGCAGTCTGATACCAAGGTTTGGAAGCCTTGTTTTATCTACCAGGTTAAGTTCAATCGCCTGTACAAGGGAAAGGTCGTCTTGACCAGTGGTCCTGTTCTTGCAAGGGGGGAGATGATGAGAGCAATGGGAGCTGCTCATGGTATGGTGTTACTGGACCTTGCAGTCTTACTGCCCTAGCATAGGCTTTGAGGGTGCTTTTAAAACACCTATAGCAAAGGCTGTCTACCTGCAGATTATAATTGTATTTGAAGTCAAGAGACTTCCTAGTGCTCTCAAAGTCTTTGCATTTAACTTCAATATACCCATAAGTTGTTTTCAACAGAAATTAATTCTGCAGCTAATTAGCTAATGCTAACATGGACTATGTGGTTCTTAGATGTTTAACCCACTGCACTCTGAAAACATACTGTTAATATGTAATTACAAGAAACGGAATGTAGTTATAAACTTCTGTGGCTGTGAAATGTTGAGATAATCAGATATCTTTTTCCATGCGTAGCATAGCAGAGCATAGCATTTCATTCTGACTACAAACATCACTGAGAGCAGAAAGGATGCAGCTTGTAGCAGGCAAAGCACATGCTAGGAAGCTTATAATGAGATAATTTTCAAGAATGCTAAAAAGTGAGCACATCAATAGAAAGATTATTAGATAAATGTATTTCTATATGGCATGTTGAACCATTGAAAGAATACCTTTCCTATAATTTCTGAATGTAATCCCTTTCTTCCCTTGCCCAAAGTAAGCAATTGTTGAAATAAACACATGATGGTGCTGGAAATGTTATCTATTTCCATTGCAAATTGTTACCCACACCTGCAGTACTGTCTGCTATTGCATATGGAATACAAAAGACCCGCAGAACCTATTATTTGCAAGAAAAGTGAGGTCTAAAATTTTCAATAAAAATGACATTTCAAGACTGAATTACATTTAAGCTCAGGAATCTTTTGCATTGTACAATTTAATGAAAATATAAGCTGTAAAATATTGACTAACCACATTATTGCATTGTCATACTATACAGCATGAGCAAAATGGACTTCTTGTTATAGGTATTGTTCCTAGGCATGTGTCTCCTGTGCTTTTTTTGACTCCTTTTATGGCTCAAATTGTATTTGCTATGGAAGCATGAAATCAAATTATATTGTTGTTGACAAATCTTAGAATAAAAAAGCTCCTGTACAGCTCTCTTCCTGTTGCACTAATTAAAATGAAAGGAAAATTGATGAAATAGCTATAAAAAATATCAATATGGACCATATTTTTTATAATCTCATTAACTCCAAAACAAAAAAATGAAAAAAGCACGTGTTGTTCCATCAATTAATTTATACTAATGAAAGCAATGGCTGCCTTTAATTTATTTGTACACATGGCTATTTCATTTATAAAAGCTGAATGGTACACAATAGCTACTTAACCTGAATATCTTTAGTTCTCCAAATCAAAGCAATGAGGCAATGGTGAAAGGAACAGTAGACACTTCATCTGTACTAGACACATTTTTCAAAAGTGCAACACTGAGAATGAAAATATTAATTCAAAATGCAGACTTCATACTTTAAAAAAACAACAGTGCTTTGTAGCAATGGCAATGTAATGGCATGCCAAGTGTCCATGCAGAGGATGCTGCATTGTGAAGAGAAACGCAGCCCCTGAAGGAAGCATGGTTTAGAAACTCTATTTTGCATCTTGAGGCTTTCTCCAATGACACTGGTTGTAGCAATTCTTCGCTTCTTGGATCCCTGTTCCTATTTTGAGACTGGTGGGAAATGTTCCTGAAGTCACTGGGTCGTGCTCAGCGTAGGCATAAATCGTGTGACTTGCAGCAGTGGAGCATTCATGCTTGGGAGAAGAAAGCTGCTGTCCTTGGGAGCCTCCTGCCATGGGGCTTGTGTAGATATGATAAACAATGGATCATGAAGGAATAACTGAATCAGAGCATTTTGGGGGCATCCTGACTAGTCTTTTTCCCTCAGTGAAAGTCCCTTTCTTTATAGGTTATATAGTTCCTGGCTCTTGATTTTCTGTTGCAGTAGTGGTGGAGAAAGTGTTAGAGATGCAGAGTGGCGATAATCTTACACCCTTTCAAGCATCCTTGGGCATTCTGCACTTGAGTCAGTGGCCACTGAAGCCTTTAGGGCCCTTTACTCTGATTTAATGATGGTTGGATTAGCACTGTCCAAGCGCTGTGCTAAAAATCCTCCACTGCTTCCAGGACCTAGCCTATTATATTTTTGTCTCTCCCCCTTTCTCCTCTCTTTTTACAAGATATCCAAAGGAAATCCCTTGAATTAATGTAAACCTGTTGATGGCCATTGGAAATTCACATATCCTGGTAAGTACTCCCAAGCCTCAAGTTGAACCTTGGTCCAAAAGGCAAAAACCATGAGAAAGAATCAGGAAAATGAAATTGCACAAGTTCCTGAATCAGACCTAAATGACCAGGATCTGAGAGAACCACAGCTTTCTCCAGTCATCTCTGCATTCCTTCAGATGTGTGTCTGTCCATCATTTCTTGTACCTTACGTGACTGATAATTTATCCCAGTTGGTTTATATACATATTTGCTTCCTATTGCAATCTTCCCTGGCAATGGTAATCTCTTTGGACCTATTCTTGCAGGTTGCAAGTTGCGGGATGTATTCATATCGATAACACTGAAGCTTTGAAGCATCTTTTAGTGGAGATCAATTACAACTGGCACCTGGGGAAAAAAAGTAAGTGACTTTTCTCTATTTGTTTGCCTTCTGGAAGGTCAGTTGTAGGATCTTACTGCTTATTCTTCCTGCCAATACATGCATGAGCTGTTCACTTCCCTGGGATAGCAAAGGACTTTCTAGTTCTTTTTTCTTTTTAAAATGCTGTCTTTTCCAATTTTGATTTATGAAGGAACACTAGAGGTCACTGTAGCTTCACTGCAGGGGGAACAAACACTTCTCTGCTGGACCAAATGACTAGACTTGAAAAGATTTTGTTTTAATTGATAAATGCCTGCAAAGCTTTGCTTTTCTCTCCTGTACTCACAGCTCTGTCTGTCTTCCATGGACCATCTTACTATGCTTTTTGGTTAACTGAGCATCTCTTTGCATCCCAGTACAGCTCTCCTATTTCCCTGCCTCCCTTCCTGCATTTCTGGTCAAGTTTGTCTTCTACCCTTCTTCAGCCTCAGACCTGAAGCACTACTGCTTGCTACTAGTCACAGTTTACAATTTGCTTTTCAGCCTTTCATACTGAGCTGGCTGGTGAAAGCGGGTATAGGAAGAAATTGCAATGAATCAGAAGTAACTGGAGGGCCTGAGGGTGAGGGAGAATGCTTTGGATCTCGAGCTGAGACAGAAGCTAAAACTGACAAAAATTATCACCCATGACAACCAACAGCAAGCAAACGTACATGCCAATCTTCAGCAGTTAACTTCCAAGAAATACAGATGCTGATTCTTACCAAGCCTACAGATGACTTTACTGAAATTAAACTAAAGTGAACAAATGCAAATGCAATGGGTGGTACAGCGAGGCCTGAAGTTCAAACGTTCAAGACTTCTCCACCAGTCTCATGCTAGGAGCATGAACCCAAGAAATGTAGTGTTATATCTCATACCTTCGATGAGTAATAACAAGAATTTCAGGGACATAATGTCTTAAACTTCAATTGTCAAACAGAAAAAAATAAATTAAGTTCAGGGGTTTTTTGCATTTTTTCCGTTTTCAAAACAGTTTCCGGATGAAGAGAAACTTTTTTTTATCTCTATTTTCTATCACCAGTTTGTATGTCTATTGCCTTTTAAATTATTTTTTAAAAGTAAGAAAAAAAAATGTAATAAGCTTTAGTTATAAATCAAGGTTTTCTTCCCGTAAGATCCATCCATCTAGGAGTTACCATTTTTGGTAAGAGACACAATTTCCACAGAATTCAGCTGAAGCAGATGGTTGATTTCACATGCATCCCTCTACCTCCCCATACAGGGTGCAAGCACAGCTTCACTGGGCTGTGTCCAAGGGGATTCTTCTCAATAACAATTGCACATTTTGACTGTTGGTATTGCCTAGTGTCTTATAGCTTAATATTCCCCGCTAATTATTAGATGGAGAACTCAACTGCCATGGTTATAAAAATCCTCTTGGACCTGGGGAAATGTCTTTACCCAAATATTCAACCCCTGGTTTAGATCTCTGCAGGGTAATGCATTCCAAACGTTCAAGTCTCAGGCAGAGAAGGAGAACCGGGCTTTGGCAAACTGCGGCGTGCTGCACACTGCGATAGTCTGACCAGATGAGATTTAAAGAATTGGTATTATTGCCATTGTCTTAAAGTCATTGCAGGCAACAAGCAACGAGGGGAATCACAAGCACTTAAAAAAAAAGAAAAAAAAATCAAGAAACCTCTTCTGGAGAAGTAAGGAACTTTAAAGCGCTAAGGAGGGGAAGTAAATGAATCATGCACCTGATGTTAGTTGGCATTCTCAAACATCATGTGAATAGGCAGGATGCTGAATACCTATGTTTCCGAGGGGTGTACATCCTGAAGAGCTTCTGTTTATTACTACAAAGCTTACTAGGAGTGAGGGGAGATAGAGGACCGTGTTACTAAGCATTCCACTGCTAGGTAAGGGGTTAGGCTTTCCACCTCAAGTTAGATTCTGCATCACTGGTGCATGCAGAGAGTTTACGTTAAATCTATTTTTAGAAACAGGTATGATATAGGAGGCAGAGAGAATTCCAGAGTACAATTTGTTTCCCTCAGAGCAGGGATGAGTTTTTCGCCCAAGCTTCTATACTGGTAAAACTCCTCCTTATTGCACCAGAGAGAGTTGTCTGAATAGGGGATTCATATTCAGGCTCACTAGTTACGGCACTGGATGGGTGACATTCACTCTTTGCAGACACCCAGTGCATGTCCTACACACAGCTTCAGACTGCTTGTACTCTCAGGATGTTGTACGATTCATCAGTCAGTTTTCCGCACAGGAAGAATTTCAGCCACATTGTATAACTGAACAGAAATAAATGTAATTTGCATTCAGTGTGTGCATTTGTAGATATGGAGAATTTAACATAAAGGCTTTTTAAATGACTTGCAGAACTCTAGAACTGATTTATATAAGTATCTCATTTACAGCATGGATACACCAGAGAGGTTGTCTGCCATTACTTTTGATAAATGATTAATTAGAATACTTGTGTATAATATTTTGAGAAATACAACATAGATAGTTTTCTTAAAATAGGTGTGAAGCTACAGCCCCATAAGCACAGCTCTCTCAACTCAAATGCACAGCAACATTCAGTTACCTAATGAAAGACTGTAGGTCTATACATGACAAAACGCAAGAATTCATTTCTGTAAATACAAAAGTCATTGTGGTAGGAAAGAAGATAGTTAACTTTTACCTAAAGTAACAACAGTTTTTCTCCACTGTTATTAGAATGGCGTACAGAGCAAAGAGCATATTCAGAGAGCAATCCAATGCACTACTTGTGCAAACACATCTTCATTTAAAGAGTGAAACAAGAAGCAGCTTACTTAGTTCACATAGCATCCCATGCAAGTCACTCAGCATCGCAGTAAGAAAGAAGTTAAATAGTCGAGGACAGTTATCTTGAAGTACATTGCAGCAGTTTGCATTTACATTTTTACCACAAACGACCACATACACCACATGTATTTTAAGTGATACAAACATACAGCAGTATATCAGCATAAGAACGACAAACAGCCACCAACAAAACACACCTTTTTTAAAAAGGCACTGAGTGGTCTGTAGGGTTTTTACCACAGACCGGGACCTCAGGAGTTGACTAGTTCATTTTTATACCTACCCTAATTTGCAGCAGTGCACACATTAGTTAAGAGTTTCAAAAGGGACAAACACCTTCCATTCAGTGAAAATAAAGTGAAAAAATCTGGCTATATCACTGACTACTATTAAAATCGCAACAGTTATCACTAACATGGAGCATGTAATATAATTTTGACAGCTGGGTGGTTTTTTTTTGCATCTAGCTTCTACTTATTGGAAGTAAATTTGTCTCTTTAAGTTCTCGCAGGTACAACTGGGAATAACCTCTCCCCTCTGCACAAATCACTGTTTTGGAGGTACGTACTCATTTACTGCCAACTTCAGTCTCACCTTTAAAAAAGCTGAAATCAATCTTAAATGTTGCTGTTAAAGGAATAGGAAATATGGCTGGCGAGTGCAAAAAGTTTTGATCGGGCTTGTAATAATTTAATGAGATCAATATGTTGCTAGCAAGCCTATGGAGGTAGCGTATATGAAAAGTCACAGAACTGATGGAGCAGGTTCTCGAGGGACATCCCAGAGCAAACCCAGGCCCCTTGAGTTACTGCGATGCTAACAGCAATTATGTGCACATCGGGGAAAAGCATGGAGTCAGGCATCAGAGGAGCAATCTGGGAAGTGGAACGGGACATGGATAATTGATGTGAAGACTTTCCACCCTTGACTGAATAACCCAGAAGAGTTTGTGAACCACGGTACAACTCGGGGGTGGATGTATTTCAGGGTTTGATGTGTCACCAATGCTTTTTTTCCTTGGCTTTTCATTGTTTTCTGCTCGGAGGTAAACTCCACTATTCTCTGATCCTGCTGATGCTGCAGTGCTGGCTCCAAACGCCTGCTGACTCCTATCCCTAATGAGTTTTGGAGGTGGTGTAATTTCTCTTGCAGCCACGGAGTCCTTTCCTGTCCCTAAGGATTTGAGCTATAAGTACGGCAAAGAGCAGCATTTCCACTTAGTGCCTTAGGGACTGTGCATCTCCAGGGTTTTATATCTCCCAGGAGGATAGCCCTGCCAAGGCCTGCTCTGCATGCTGCCGGCAGCCGGCCCTCGGCCAGCATCCAGTCTGGGTGGAAGTCTCCTTATTTAAGGAGAGGTGCCAGGCTGCGTCCTCCGCCTGAACGGGGCCATGCGAGAGTGCAAACCGTGCAGCCGGGAGGAGCTGAGCCACTGCTGTGGTGCCTTCCCCCCACCTGCCGTGTCCCAGAATGTTCTTTAGGAGGGGGCGGCAGGAAAAGGTTGGGAAAACATGGAGACATGGCACTGAGGAAACCATGAGGATGCTGCTGCAGGGCAGCGCAGACCCTTGCCGAGGTGACAGCCAGCCAGCACCACTGGGGGGGTTCTCCCTCCGTGACAGTGGGCTGGTGGGCTGGTTCACAAAGCCAAATTCAACCACCTGCCTGTAGCTTCCACTGTGATTCCTGGAAACCTGGAACATCGATTTCATGGCAGAAGCCGGGGGCCACATCCTTGCCCAGGAGCTTGGTCTGGGGAGGCTGCTCCCCTCGCTACTCTGCCACTGTTTGAACAGAGCTCCCCCTCAAAGCTAACAAGTAAAAAATTGCCTAGTTTTTACCTACAAAAACTGGGACAAAGAAGCAAATTTCAGCAGCATTAGCCAATTGATAGGAGTTTAAAAAAATGCAATTTGTGATTCTTATCGGTTAACAGTTACAGTTCATTGAACCTACTGTACAGAGCCTGCAAAATCTAAAAGCCATTAAGAAGCATCAATTTCACAGATAAAAGAAATAAAAGAAACTACAAACCTGCTAGAAGCTTCCCCTTGTTCTTTTCTTCAGGTCAGGGAGTGGGAGGGAAAAACATGCTTGTTATGCAGATAGTAATCACATCACTTAGTTACAGATGATGTTAGATATATGATAAACATAAATGGATATGTTAATTAGTGTACAACACACACACATTACATTGCAACCACAAAAACATTCAAGCAAGACTCATAACTACAATGCTTCTGAAAAAGAAACTTTTCAGTTGTTTTAACACATGCATGACATGCTTAGTACATACCACTGCAGACTGAGTTGGCAAAGCACTTAGGTAAAATGCATTGCTGACACACATATAACAGAAAGCTGTAGGCTCTTATTAGGTAAAGTTATCTCTGGTAAATAAAAAGGTTTAATTTTAGGATAGCACAGCAATATGCTTATTTAAAATAACAAGTAGATGCACTTTTGAGGGACAGTCATATTTTAGAATGTTTTAGGTGGGATACAGCTGTGTAATTTTATATCCATCCATTTATACCAATGGTGCCTTCAACCTGTTTGTGTATGTCAAAAATCAATATTCCATGTAACATTTAATCGAAAAGCTCCTTTTATTTTGGAGCATTTTGGAATTACAGTTATGGTAATGGATTACTTATGGCTCTGTTCTTGTGAACTCTTTGAAATTCAAAGATCAGCTTTGGGTATCCAGCCAAACCTCTTTTTTGGCTGAGCTTTTTGGCACACGATTACCTTTTTACTGTCATGTGGATGTTCATCACCCAGCTTTGAGAGAAACCACTAATTCTCTTGCGCTGTCTGCAATAACAACAGTTAGGATGCTTATCAGAGCTTTCCCATAAGGCTCTTAGCGCTCTCCTTCTTGATCTTTATCAAGTATCTTTTATTTCCTGATTTGCGGCCTGCATTGAAACAGTCAACTTCCTACCTTCTGGTGAATCTTTTACTGAATTATTGAAGAGCCTTGGGCTGCCAGTGCTCTGTGAATTCTCACCCAAACTAGGACGTCAAATATTTCCTGTCTGCCAAACTGTGACACCAAGTCTTTTTAGTCATCTTCCACTGACTATGCGTATAACTGAGGATATAATTTGCCCCAAGGAAATACTGAATATACCAGAAGCTATGACAAAAAGGAGCAAATTCCCCGGTGCCTTCAACTGCCGAATACCACGAGGCTCTCCTCCCTCACAGAGGTAGGTCTGTAGCTATAGCCTTATACAGAGGCACAGGCATAGAAGTACCACTAAATCCGGGAACAAGCTCTGCATTAAACTTAGTATTTTCCTCCTTAGAGATCATTTGGAACTGGGTGAAACATTAACCTCGATACATGAGTAGGGTTTGAAGAAAATGTTTCTAATGTCTGCACCCAGATAAATGGCAATGATTTGTGTTCGTCCCACTGCCCTAGGCTCCTAGGTAATATTGATATGCTTTGTTAGTAGAAATTTTTAATGAGAGGACTTAAGAAGACGAAACAAGACGAAACAGACAAATAGTAATTCTCTATAAGCTTGAACAGACATCAAGAACAGCACCAGCTGCCATATTTGTACCTACTTTGTAGGGCTGCAGGTATGCAAGGCCTTCAAATGAGGCTTCCAGGTAGCAATGGAAACCGATTTCTCATCAGCCGCATAACTACGCCATACACACTACGTGCAGGATATATGGTAAAAAAGAAAAAACAAGGCAAGAGGGAGCAGGGGATGAAACAAAAAATTGAAAAGCAGATTAGTAACCAATACAAGTCATGGCTTTCTTTTATCATTCATAGCACTGATACATGCCTGAGGGGAGGAAGAATACTTTCATAATATCGCCAGGTGGCTGTCAGGTTTGTTCGGCTGGCGTCGGTAGAATAAAACCGCCAAGAAGCCTGGTATGGGGAAACAATAAAAAAGCACAAAGGAACCAAGAACATGAAGTGACAGTGCCACCACACTGAATACGGAGAGAGGGGATTTTGCTCAGATTGGGATGTGCTCTACTGGGTTGATTAAGGAAATACCAGTAAAAACCTACTAAAACTTCTGTGAATCACAGCACACTTTAAATAGTAAAGTAAGAGTTACTGGCTTTGTGGAAGCACCAGAAGATGTTCAACACATAAAGGTGCTCAAAAGAACATCGCAGTGATTTATTTGTGACAAGTCCATAGGGGACACCCACACAAACTTGCAGTGTGAGGTAAAGAAAGTGTCATAATACATTTTGTAAATGATAATGAAAACCAGACAAAAAGTATTTAGAAGAAAAGTGAAGTATTCTCTGTGGTTTCAAACACTGCTAAATGTTTAAAAACGAAATAAATAATTTCAAAGCTGAATGACCAAAGCAAAGCATTGAAAATGTATTCACTGTTTAGATTTATAACTGCATGTAGATAGTAAGACAGATCCTCAGGTTTACAAACTGAAACAGCTTCCCTCATGTCAGCATGACTATATTCATTCGTACCAGCTGAGTATCTGCACTTCCTGTATATTGTCAACCATTAAATGTCATCCAGGCGTTCTTGTACGGAGTCTAATGCCACATGTTTTCCTACTGCCTATCTCCCAGAAATACATCTAGTCTTCATCTACAGATGGAGAACCTGTCACTCGCTTTGTGAATTGTTCCACTGGTTCATCACTCTCATTGTCAAAAGTCTCTGCATTATTTTTGATTTGAAACTATTTGGTCTTGGCTTATAGCCAGAGATATTTTTTATGTTTCTGTCTGCTACATTAAATAGTCCTGTAGTGTCCAGTACTTCCTCTCTGGACTTTTATGTTCAAGTAATATTCACAATGAATATTTCATAAAAATTAAACATATTAAGAAAAGTATGTTGCTATGAAACATTCCATTTTTCTATAGTGATACCTTATCTGTCTTTAAGTCAGGTAAAGGCTGTAGCAGACAGTATATCTATGGCAACAGAGGAGTTAGCACAGACTAATTCTGCAGAGTAACTGTTTAGAAAATAGACATTATCCTGATAAACTAAAGCACACTAATTTCCATGGTAGTTCATTATCAATATCCACAACAGACAATTTAAAAAAGCCCAGGCACCATTACTGTAGACAATGCTATGAAGTTCAGACACATCCTGCATTTATGAATATTAAATTTTCTTGAGTCCTGGACTAATTTTTTCCAATGATTTCTTTGCTTTCTCCAATTTTCCAGTCTCATCTACAAACTGTAGATGCTGAGTTGTTGTGTAGCATGTTAGTACCAGCATCACCATATGGAGTGAAGATTAGCCTTCTCCTACTTGGTACCTTTTTGGTAACTAAGGACTGTAATAATCAAGCTGGAGTAACATACAGAGAACTTGTATGAAGCTCTTGGCCCTTCTTCCTCACAGTTTCTCCTCTGTGTTTCTAATCCTTGGTCAAATCCATTCCAGAGTCACTAATATTAGGACAGGGTCCTCTTGTCTGAATTCATTGTTTCTAGATCAAGCTTTGTATTTGGTATAGTAAGCCATTTGGATAAAGTCACAGAGATCATTCTTGGGTTCATTCCCGTGTGCCTGCCCTCATCTTTACCATTCTGCCAGGCCTTCTGCCATTGGCAAATCTCTCCATCAGCAATGTTATATTAATTTCCATATCACTGAAAATGCTGAACATGAAACTGAACATGTAAATACTGAACAACCTTCATCATTAGGATCCCATCACAGATGTCTTCCTTTCACAATGTTTTTGCTCATTCAGTCACTTTCTGAAATCAATCAGCTAGCTACTCCTAATCTATTTAGCATGCTGTCTTACTAATATTTTGGTTGGACTGTCATACAATAACAATAAGAGCTACATCCAAACCCTAAATCTATTGTGTGTTTCCTCTGGCAACCGAACTTGGAAAAAGTAGATGAGAATATATGTGTTAGAAAATATTCCAGACACTACAGTACAATAGACACAAAAGGAGTGGATTTATATTTGTTAATTATTCTAATAAATATTACATCTCAAATATTAAGTATTTAATAATCATTGAATGGTAATAATGGAAAACATTTATTAACTTAATAATGCTTTATTAATTAAGAATGCTTCAAAGGCAGCCTGGCATCTGTCCTGAAATCATCATGGAACTCTAGTATATTCATGCTCAGCTTCTTTATTTGGATTTATTATTTCAGAATTAGAAAAACAGCATAAGTGGCACACGTAAAACACTTGGCATCCCAAGAAAATAAACCAGGACACTAGAAGTTTATCCTCCCCCCGCCCTTTTTTTTTTCCAGTGCATCAAGTAACGTAAAACTTGGTGCAAAATCATTCTTGAGAGGATTTTCTTGTGTTTAACTGGGATTGTAAATTAAGGAAAAAACCCATGCAAAATAGCTGTTTTACAAATATCATACAAGCCACTTTTGCTTAAAAAATCCTTCTAAATAATTGATCTGCACCATCATGCCAATAATGGAGCTGAAACCACTCCAGACAATTTCAGACGTTTTGGAATTGCTAGCACCTACATTTCCAGCTTTTGAACTGACTAATAGTGAAAGCAATTCTCTGGGCAGGACACTTTTCATTTTCACCAAGTATATAACTCATTGGAGCACTCTAAACCCTGTAGTAGATGAAAAGTAGCTTAATATAGGCAAGAGTGCTGTGCTGTCAGTTGGGTTGTCTAGGGATCAATTCTATTTTTCTAAGTAATTTACCTAGTGCAGGCATGCAGTTGACATCCTTGACTTGGTTCCTTCAGCATGGATAGAAGAACTCAAAAACTGTTCATAGAAATGCTATATACACAACTATGGCAACACATAGCAATCACTGAACAAACTTATTTCATGGAACTAACCAATTTATTAACTGTTATTTCCACAGAACTTTCCAAATTGAAAAAATCAAACTTGCTCGAATACGTACTTTAAATCACCTACTGTTATCTTTTCACTGGTTTCATATTTACCTGAATTAGACTGGCAGCTGGATTCCTTCTTTTCTCAAAGTGTTTCTGACGATGCTGTTCCTGCACTTTTAATGCAAATCCTGAGCCAAGGATGCCCTGCAATACAATATGCCACTTATGATTATGCAGGGTTTTTTTTTCCAACAAATATACCTAATCAGCTACAAAGGTTTTGTGAAAATGTTCTGCCATATGATTGCTTCAGATACCACATTTATGACAGTCTGTGACAGTGTAAGGCTTAACAACAGTGCCCTTACTTAAGATACAACATCTCTGGTGCTACCAATGACCACTCATCCCAGCCATTGCTTGGGTTTGTGCTACACTATGTTCCTGCAACATTAAGGGCCGCAGATACATATCTATACATAAAACATCAGGCAGGAACATTCAGAGAAATTTAAGCCAGGAATGATGAAATGACCAGCTGCCAGATATGCCATATATATATGAACTTCAAAGTCCGTAACTGCAGTGCTTATCATAACTTTTGATTTTAGAAAAGTTAGAAAATGCCTTGCTTAATATATTAA